ACTTGCCGTGCAAAGGCCGGATGTGCCTCGTCGCTGCGCAATAATTTTTGATCATTTCTGCTGTTTCACGATTACAGGGGCCAAAGGAGCACGGGACCAATGGACTGCAGCACGGACCCGGGGATCAGGGGATCAGGGAACAAAGCACTGTCTTTTGATACACTTTTTTGATAGGTACGGCATCCTAGCTTGCAATCTCCTAAATCTATTGATACAATGTCCCTGACCTACAAAACACCGTCCTCTCCTTCCTTTGTAAAATTGTGTGGGCCCTGAGTGATGCTTCTCCGTCCTCCTCATCATCTTCCTCTGACTCCGGCAGGCTGTCCGCACGGACAAAGGCGGTGCCTCCACAACAAGCATCTGCCCTCACAATCTGGGTAACTCATGTAGGCCTATGGCTCTCCCAGGCATTCCAAAGTGAAAAATTGTTACAAACATGTTTTTGCGGCCGCGTTTTTCATGTCATCTTCAGTCCGGTTTCGAGATCGGCCTTTGCGCATTTTGGCTTTGTTGGAATCTTCGCCGACATCCTGATGAAACCATGACGCTACTGAATTCCTCACAACTGCCACAATTCATTAGGTCCCCTATAATGGCCGTAAGGCTCACGCAGAGGAAAAGCTCACTTGCCGTGCAAAGGCCGGATGTGCCTCGTCGCTGCGCAATAATTTCTGATCATGTTCCGAGATTTCCCTCGCGCTTGCCACGAAAAGTGACCACCACGTCCGAAAATGCGCGCGGCACCACAATGAGAGCGCAGTCGCGAGAAGCACCCGCCACGGACACCCAGATTTTGTGACCCGGCGCAGTCGAAATGCACTTCGAGGATTTCGAGAGGCATGAATGTACTGTAGCGGCGAGCTAGCCGCACACGCCCGCGCAACCCCTCGAACTAAACACCGTAAGAGCCCCTAGTGTGTCCACACTGTTTCGGGAAAAAGTTGTATAAGAGACATTAAGAGACCGTGCTTTGTTCCCTGATCCCCTGATGTACGGGTCCGTGCTGCAGTCCATTGGTCCCGTGCTCCTTTGGCCCCTGTAGTCGTGAAGCAGCATCGAGGCGCTCTGATTTCGTGACAGGTGCAGTGAATCGTGACTTTGGGACATGTGGCTCGTTTGTGGGTTTCGTGGCAGGCGAAACACGTTGTGATCCTCAAAGTGCAGATTGCGTGGCAGGCGCACCACTTTAGGAACCTCGAAGTGCAGATTTCGTAGCAGGCACAGGACCTTGTAAACCTCAACGTGCAGATTTCACAGCAGGCGCAGCACTTTGTGACCCACTTCGTGCAGATTTCGTGGCAAACCAAGCACTTTGTGAACCTCGAAGCGCGGATTTCGTGGCAGGCGACTCACTCTGTGAACCTCGAAGTGCAAATTTCGTGGAAGGCGCAGCACTTTGCGAACCTTGAAGCGCAGATTTCGTGGCAGGCACAGCTCTTTGTGAGCCTCAAATAGTGCAGATTTCGTGCCAGGTGCAGCACTTTGTGAGCCTCGTTTGTGGCAGGCGCAGCACTTTGTGAACCTTGAAGCGCAGATTTTGCGGCAAACACAGCACTTTGCGAACCTCGAAGTGCAGATTTCGTGGCAGGACTTTGTGAGCCTCGACGTATAAATTTCTTGGCAGGCGCAGCACTTTGTGAACCTCACACACTCACTCATTCACTCACTCACTCACTCACTCGCTCGCTCGCTCGCTCGCTCGCTCTGACTCACGCTGACTCACTCTCACTCTCACCCTCTCACTCTCACTCACACTCACACTCACGCTCACACTCACACTCTCACATTCACACTCACTCTCACTCTCACATTCACACTCACTCCCACTCTCACTCCCACTCTCACTCACCAACTCACTCTCACTCTCACTCTCACTCTCACTTACACTCTCACTCACGCCCACACCCACACCCACACCCACACCCACACCCACACCCACACCCACACCCACTCACTCACTCACTCCCGCCACCATGACCACGATCTCCACCTTCATCACCACCAACCCCAATGCGTCTAAAATCTCTAGACTTTCTGCTACTACACCTCTAGACCTGACACACACTGTTTGGGGTTTCTTGCCAGGACATTTTCGGCAGCAATCTCCTAAATCTATTGATACAATGTCCCGGACCTACAAACCACCGTCCTCTCTATCCTTTGTAAAATTGTGTGGGCCCTGAGTGATGCTTCTCCGTCCTCCTCATCATCTTCCTCTGACTCCGGCAGGCTGTCCGCACGGACAAAGGCGGTGCCTCCACAACAAGCATCTGCCCTCACAATCTGGGTAACTCATGTAGGCCTATGGCTCTCCCAGGCATTCCAAAGTGAAAAATTGTTACAAACATGTTGTTGCGGCCGCGTTTTTCATGTCATCTTCAGTCCGGTTTCGAGATCGGCCTTTGCGCATTTTGGCTTTGTTGGAATCTTCGCCGACATCCTGATGAAACCATGACGCTACTGAATTCCTCACAACTGCCACAATTCATTAGGTCCCCTATAATGGCCGTAAGGCTCACGCAGAGGAAAAACTCACTTGCCGTGCAAAGGCCGGATGTGCCTTGTCGCTGCGCAATAATTTCTGTCACGTGCATGGTGATTCTACGAAGTGATGCCAAAAAACTAGTTATATAGCATCTGCCTGTATCTCTTCAATGTCTGGTTCTGGCGGATTCTCATCTATTTCACGACCTGCAAAGCAGCAGTGGTGCATCCTGTCAAGTGAGATATGTTGAAACCGATTGCAACCAGATAAACCTGGTCAATCGCACGGTGGATATGACCACCTTGTTATTTTAGGACCTTTCACCTGCTGGAAGGTCTGCCTCTGAGTCCAAGGTTCTGAGACCTTGATAGTTGCTCATCCTCGGACGCTGAATTCATCGAGCTCAGAAAGCGCAAGCCTCGCACTATGGCCCTTGCGGCGAAGACAACTTTTCGATCACTCACCTGGGCCTCAATGAGCTGCAGAAAACAACAAGTGCCTTGGTAACTTGGCACACATTGCATTTCTTGCGGGTTCGGGTGCCCGTCAATGCCATCGGCTTAAGGCTTAAAGTATAAGTTGCTGCCTTCTTATCATCCACCTTGCCCTGCGAGTCTTGGAATACGTCCTCAGCAGTAACACCAGTAGAAAACGAACTAAAACACCACTTGGTGGCCAACACCTGACTGTGTGAGGCCCTGTCGCGAACCCTTGCTGTAGCTGCTTTGCCTGTTATGCCTCTTGTGCATTCTTGTGCTACATGAGTGGCAAACACCACCCTTATCAAAGCTGTCCTGGTGTCTAGCAAATTGTGGCTCAGCTGACTCCTTTCACAAGGCCGACTATGTTGAGCAAACAATATGCACCGTCAACCTCTTCACAGTTGACTGTTGAAAATCCTCGTCGAACTCATCGTCGTTCTCAAAGTCGTCTTCCAAGTAATCAGGCAGGAACGAGGACGGTGCAACGGAAGAGGCGTCAGCTTCGCTGCGCTCTGGAAGTTGCTCGGGAGGATGAGATGGACCAGAATTATCAGGAGGCTCAATTTGAGAATCCTGGCGCGAGGTGATGACATGATGCCCTATTCTATGCAGTTGGTCAGTGGACCTATTCTATGCATGGATAGCTTGGGATAGATCATAAATCCTCAAATCTGACGTTTAGCTGTCTTAGCTAGGGTGCTACATGATACCCCGCCACATTCACACATTGCATTGACTTTTACTTGGCCTTTTGCTCCAGATGCCCAGCAGTCGCTGTTCTTTCACCTTCTTAGGCAAGCTGTAGCAGTTCATTATATAATTCACATCTCATCACAGCCAAATGATCCTCGCCTGATGATGGGTAACCACCCTGCTCGTGAGCATCAACTTGCTCGGCTGACTCCTTTCACAGTGGAATCTGGCATAAAGGCTTATTGCCTTGTTGGACTCAGGAAATCTGCCCTCAAACTGTCCCTGCACTCTTTACTTTTGAAAATCCTCGTTGAACTCATCGTCGTTCTCGAAGTCGTCATCCAAGTAATCAGCTGCGAATGAGGAGGGTGCGGCAGATACCTTGTCATGTTCTTCCAAAGAGGTGTCAACCTCACTGCGCTCTGGAAGTTGCTCGGGAGGATGAGATGGACCAGAATTATCAGGAGGCTCAATTTGAGAATCCTGGCGCGAGGTGATGACATGTATGTGGCTGAGAATGAACGGCTCGCGGGAATATCTGTAGCAACTGTCACCTCCGCCTCCATCTGTTTGGTCTTTTCCTGCGTTGTCAAAGCCTATGCCTATGCCCTATTCTATGCAGTTGGTCAGTGGACCTATTATATGCATGGATAGCTTGGGATAGATCATAAATCCTCAAATCTGACGTTTAGCCGTCTTAGCTAGAGTGCTACATGATACCCCGCCACATTCACACATTGCATTGACTTTTACTTGGCCTTTTGCTCCAGATGCCCAGCAGTCGCTGTTCTTTCACCTTCTTAGGCAAGCTGTAGCAGTTCACTATATAATTCACATCTCATCACAGCCAAATGATCCTCGCCTGATGATGGGTAACCACCCTGCTCGTGAGCATCAACTTGCTCGGCTGACTCCTTTCACAGTGGAATCTGGCATAAAGGCTTATTGCCTTGTTGCACTCAGGAAATCTGCCCTCAAACTGTCCCTGCACTCTTTACTTTTGAAATCCTCGTCGAACTCATCGTCGTTCTCGAAGTCGTCATCCAAGTAATCAGCTGCGAATGAGGAGGGTGCGGCAGATACCTTGTCATGTTCTTCCAAAGAGGTGTCAACCTCACTGCGCTCTGGAAGTTGCTCGGGAGGATGAGATGGACCAGAAATATCAGGAGGCTCAATTTGAGAATCCTGGCGCAAGGTGATGACATTTATGTGGCCGAGAGCCAAGACTGAAAGGCTCGCGGGAATATCTGTAGCAACTGTCACCTCCGTCTCCGCCTCCATCTGCTCACACGATGGCACTGGAGGTGCAGGTCCATCCTGGTCGTCTTGCTAATTTGTGATGTGAGCAAGTCAACGAAATCTGCGCCATCCTGGAGGTTGCCCCAAAGCTGCGTGACGACAGTGTTGACCGTCTTTTCCTGGCTTCACAAGCCACGTGAGGAGGAAGCCAGAAGCGAAAATGAGCGTGTGTCATTGTCATGTGGAGAAAAATGAACTAATGCTATATCTAAACAAAAGAATTGCAAAATTAGGTGGAAGAGACGTTTGTAAGTACGCAATTGTCAAGATGCTCGGAGAACTGTTCTGTGACATAGCATATCATTGTCCTTGCCTCAACCTCCTCCAGCCCCCCTTGCACTTCCACGCCTGAGCTGCAATTGCCCTTTTCCTTCTAGGAAGCTGGAGAGTCTGTTTGGTGAAAAGGGATTGACACAGTCAGGCAGCGAGGCATCAACTCCAAAAAGCAACCCTCCATTCAAAAAGGTTACCAAATCGGATTAATTAGCGGACGCTGCCAGCAAGGAGGATATGAGAAAAACACTTGTGACGAGGCATGGTGTGCGTTGGGGGTATGAAACGAGATGAGGCCAAATCAGACAAATCAAAACAAGGTAGGAAGAGGGCCAAAATGAAAGAAGGGATCTAGAGTCCGGAGCCAACATAAAATTACAAACACAATGGCAGGTGTCATGAGCAGGTGACTGATTCGGTGAGTGCGGCTGCGTGCGAAATACAAAGAATGAGGACTTCGACTGCTGTGAGTTGAGTGGAGGCGAGATATGACGCGGCGCAGGCTGTGCATAGGTGTGCTGCAGAAATCACACAAACTAAGGCTACCTTCCGTGACAAGGCACTTTCAGCTCTTGAACGAGCAACCTCCACGCACTCTGTGGCTGGATGGCATGGTTTTGAGCGCGCAGGACACAAATTGTGAATCGACCCTGCCTCTGTAGTAGGCCTCCTCAGCTTCACGGCTTTATGAGAAAAATGCAATAACATTCAGGAAACGCAAAATGTATTTAAAAGACAAATTCTTCGTACCTATCTTCAAACTCGTCTTGTCAGCTTCTGAGACACGGCCGTGGTGGAGCATCTTGAAGCTGGGACTGTGAAAATTGAAGCGCCTCTACATGGAACGACCAAGCCACAAACAGAGCAAAAAGCACTGACACAACATGCGCGTGCCTGATCCAACCTCAGACATTCTCACACCAATGAAAGCATGGACCCACCCTTCCCGGGTCAGAACGGAAGACAAAAATGTATACAGAAGCACACCCCTGCAAACTTCAGAGCACCACTCACCCTTCCACAGCATGTCTACGGTCTATTCATGTCTGTACACCGTTGTCACCGTCGTCTGTTTTGCACCAAGAAGCCGGTTCCGTAAGCGTGGCGTTGCCGAGGCCCTGCAGAGCCGTGCAAAGGTGAGCCGCAAAGGTCGACGCCACAAGAGCGTGTCACGGCATTCTTGCCTTGCTGCGAGCCCACCGGGTGCCGTGTGAAGCCATAACAAGACAAGAAAGATCAAGAAAGACTTCAGTTTGACCAGGAGTCCTCTGAAAGGCCTCACAAGAAGTCCAAGCATTGCAGATCTGCATTTGATTGGCTGGAGCGGCTGGTCTTTGTTTGCCCAAATCGAGCCAAGGCACTCCATCATCCTCAGAAACCCCACCATGATTCCAAGACTCCAAGACAATGTCAAAATCGAGATGAGCCAAGTACCAAAAACTTGAGAGGTGGGCCATGAAGATGGGGACTAAACGAAGCTAGAAGTTCAAGCAGCTTAGAAAAAGAAGCTAGCTATGTTGCCTATATACTACTTGGTTTCTTCGCATGGTCGCCGTGGTTAAATGTTTGGGAAACTAACTTGTAGACCATTTTGGTGTCCTTCTCTTCTTTCGTCCTTACTCCTTTGTGCAGAAAAGGATCTGTGACACCGCTTGGCCGTTGATGCTCACAAGCTCGTCTCCGATACGCAACTTCATCTCATCTGCCCAGGTGCCCTTCTGCGTTCTCCTGACTCCGCTCAAGAGTCTAGAGACTCCAGGTTGATTGATAGGATGTTCAAAGTGTATACAGTATTTATAGGGTATTCGGCAGCTTCAATGCCGCCAGGTATAAGCGTCCATGAGCATCGTCTATCGGTTTACGGTTTATAGAATTCCCCTGAACTGATACAATGGAGGCAATTCTACCCTCGAACTGAAATTCAATTGGCTCCTGACCACCAAGACGCCATCCTGCTCAACCAGCTTCATCCCCAAGCGACCGGTATCCCAGCAAACACGAAGGGGGAACCAACCTGACAGAAGGGCATGCGATCGACTCTGTTCTTCTTTTATTGCAGCTATTGCAGTCCAAGTTTTGTTTGGTTTTTTCCCTCTGGTACCTGGTAGATTCCACTGCAACAAGAACATAAACGCAGTAAATATTCAAACGCTGATTCATCGAGTGGGTAGTGCAAAACGCCACTCTCTCGGATATATATGGTCAGCAGCCATTTGGGTCAAGGAGCATTTTTGGATGCGACAGTGGCTACGATCGCTCCAGCTGCGGGTGAGGGAGCTGGACATCCTCAGCGTGACCACGCCTTTCTCTTTGCTAAGGGGCTTGCTGGGCAAAAGCTGATCACTGTAAACCAAAAGCTTCCAAAAATCATGCAAACCTGGAAACGCCAAAAGAGCCAACATTAAAACAAAATAAAGTCAGTTGAAACAGCTGCATCAATCTAATCATGCCATGCCTCGTTTAGACTGCCTGTGCTGCAACGGGTGGCAGCCATTCGTCCGTTGGGCTACGATGCCACTGCCACCACCAGAACAAAAGTGACTCGATGTATGGTTTGAAATCACTTCAGGCATGTACTGCAACAAAATGTCAACAGGCGCGCGTGTGTGTGTGTGTGTGCGTGATTCAACAACACACAACAAAATCCTGTACAGCTGAATGGCAATGAATGGCAACGGCAATCTTCGAGCACATACCGCAACAGAAGCCATGCTAAACTCACAACTGAGCCATGATGGGTCGCAATGATTTTCTCCGGCACGCACAGCTGGAGTGAACAACCACTTCACTGGCAGGCAAAGGCGCTCATGTGACTTCCTTTAGCAGCACCGTGAGCTTCTCCACAAAGCCCGCAAGGTCCAAGCCGTCATCAATCTCCTGCATCTGCGGACTTGTAGTGTGAAACCGGCCCGGCCCTCATATTGCTGAAAGAAAACGAGAATAAGAGAAGAGAGGGAGAGAGAGAGAGAAAGAAAGAAAAAGAGAAAAAGAGAAAAAGCGAAAGAAGCAAAAGAAGGAAAATAAGAGGAAAGAAGATGTAAGTAAGAGAAAAGAAGAGAAGAGAAAAGAAGAGACGAGAAGAGAAGAGAAGAGAAGAGAAGAGAAGCGAAGCGAAGGGAAGGGAAGGGAAGGGATGGAAAGGAAAGGAAAGGAGAGGAGAGGAGAGGAGAGGAGAGGAGAGGAAAGGAAAGGAAAGGAAAGGAAAGGAAAGAATGAATGAATGTCTGTCTGTCTGCCTGCCTGCCAGTCTGTCTGTTTGTCTGCATGTAGGTATGGATGGAAGGAAGGCAGGATGGATGGATGGATGGATGGAGGGATGGAGGGATGGAGGGATGGAGGGATATTTTTTTGTTCTTGTCTGTGCACGTGTGCTCGCCAGCCATACAGAGCTCTCAAGCCTGATCTACTGAACTTTGCTACCTCCTCATTCCCGATATGCCTCTGCCCTGTCCTAGTCCTTGGCTGGTCAACCTGCCTTCAAAATCACATGCGACAATCTTCAGAGCATACTGTAGATACATTGAGCCCCGTGCAAGTCTTGTTTAACCTATTGCACTTTCACTTAACATGTAATTACCTTCTTTTGCCCGCACCATGCATTTCGCTCGGTCTCATACTATTCATTGCAGCGCTGCCTGTTAAGATATTAAAGCAAACTGCTATGTTAACTTATGCCTTATGCCTTATGCGCTCGCAATTTCTGTGCTCTTGAAGGCTCCTCCTCGCTGACGGAGTCGAGCCGCGCCCGAGCCCGTTGCAGGCATCTGGCAAAATCATCAGCTGAACGTGTCTGGAGAAGTGGGTCCTGCAGTTTGGTGTGACCGGCAGAATAAATTCCAATAGAAACGGACCTCGATGTGTCCCTCCGCACTCTAAAAATACATCAAAGGACGCTCCGCCAGCCCTGCATATGACGCTGCTATTAAAAGTCAAAGTCCTTGGAGAACTTTCGAAGCTTGGCCTCCCTCTGGCTCACAAAACCCAGGTCCAAGTCAAGCTCAAGAATGCGTTTTCGGCGCTCCTGTCAGCTAAGTGGAATAAACTTGTTTTTGCAAGGTCAGGATGCCCTTGAGTCAAACAAAGGAGGGGCAACAACTAGACGCATCTCTGTATCGGATTATCGAAGGACTAACGGCGATATAGCATGAAAGAACTAGCCAAGAGCTGACCACGTCGGAATTTTCAGAACCAATGGCATTGTTTGAGATAGTCAACTCGAGTCGGATGTGTCTCAAGGAGTGACAGGCTCTGTACAGGTCTTCGTGAGGTGGTCTGCGGGTTGCGCTCATTTGACAATCACTCACCTGAATCACAACATGGAACCTCGAAACCAATTGAAATCTGAAAGACTGGCATGGACCTAGGATGTTTGTGCTCAAACCTGCGGTGACGGGGGACTTTTTGCCAGCATCCTTGAGAGGGGTGTCCCAAGCTCCAAGAACATTGCCGCATTCTTCTCTAGTAGGTTGGAGGCCATTGCTAGTAGGTTCCTCATTCTTCTCTAGATTTGTCTTGCATACAATGCACGTCCGGGATCCTCCACCCGCGCTTGCAGGGCAGCGCCCTGTAAATCGGCTGGAAGTGGCTGCTTGTCGGAGTCCTGCAGTGGTGGAAGAGAAAGCAGAACAACATTGCAAAATAGTGTCAACCAAGGTGAGCCTGTCCTCCTTGGACTCCGACCCGAGGTAGTTGCTGCAAAGCTTTGTCAAGCAATCACGCCAACCCTCGTGGTCGTCTCTGCCTAAGGATGTCTGTCCGCTCAACTGGAACGCTGAGCATTGAGTCCGTGCAGAGGAGAAGTGCAACATTCATTGGCGTTGGGCTTGCACACCAACGCCTTCATAATCTGCACAGTTGCAGTCAAGTGGCTCGGCGGCAACAGCCCTACAGCTGCAAGGCCACGATTCAGCTTTCGCAGGTCCGCCATGGTGCAAACAAAGACCTATAACCAACCCTGTGGCAAGCTCAACATGATGTATGATAGCTCCTCTTTCGATTGGTCGATTAGGGCCCGTGCATATGTCATGTCCGGTTGCCCCGCCCACATCTCTGCACCTCCTGTCGTTAATGCACCGCAATAAACATTGTTGTAAATTCATGATGATTTGGCCTTCCTAGTGCAGCAGTATCGCACTGTTTTCAGTACTGGTGTGGCCGTGGCTGCCGCCAGCGCTCGTGATCGATACCTTCTTTCAAAGCAGCGCGAAGAAAGAGCCTTTGTCAACGTTGTTTCATTCTCCAACATCTTAACTTACTCCGTGCTTCAGGCTGTGGCATGTTGGCACATCAAAACAAGAACCTGTAAAGTGTGGTGGCATTTTGTTCTCCAGAGTGTCTATCCCGAGCTGCGCTCAAATCAGCCGCTCAGGGATCTCTCCAGCAGAATTTTTCCTGTCAAGCTGTCAAGACGCTGGGTGCACTGGGGTGGCTGTGGTAATTGAACATTGGCAGGTTCCCGAAAGAGCTTTTCATGATATGTGCTTTGAGTCGTCCAACATTATCCAACACGCCTTACAGGTGCCATTCCAACCACTCGCTCCTCACAGGTGACTGAAAGCCCCTAAAAACCCAGGAACCAAATCATTTGTGCGAGTGCTTCTTCAAGGAAGCTCCCCCCTGCCCTCAGGCGGGGGGAGCTTCCTTGAAGAAGCCTGAGCTATCCTGCATCCTACCTAGAAACGCTTAATAGCTAGTATAGCTACCTCTTCTACCTCTTCCTCTATCCGCGGCCTACCCCCCCGGGCTTTAAGAAAAAAGGACCTCACCTGGAAGGAGGGCTGGCCTCAGGTTGACACAAGAGTGGCTAAGACATGCTAAGACCAAAGTGGCAAATCTGAGGCCACTGGCCAATGGAGGGAGCACTGGGTGGCCGCTCCAGGAACTCTTCCAGCAAGGCCCTGACACATGGAAGAGATTGTAGCGGCTAACCTTTAGCACATGTGCAGCACAAGCTCACCACAGCAGACTAAGCAGCCAAACCCGGAGGGGCATGTAGGCGTTGGCGACAGAATTGGCGTGTCCCTCCAGACAGATTGCAGGCCAAGGAAACTTGAAACTCGCCAAATTGTCTTTCAGGCAAAGCAACTCCATCACGCTGTTAGTGGCCTTCAGGCCAGTATGCAACAAATTCAATTTGCTTCTGAGACTCCGGCACCCGGCGGGGGGGCTTCTCCAACATTCTGGCTGTACCTGAATGGCAGGAGAAAAAGCATCTCAAGACTTTTGCAACTTCGACAAGGCACAATTGGTAGATGGCGAAGCCAATCAAGACTGTGACCAAGCCAACAAAAGTGAAATACGCGTCACGCGTCAGCGGCTCCTGAATGAAGTCACTAATCTTTCTCCTAGGCCCCCCCCAAAACAAGAAAACAAGCACTGGTTTGGATGCCTGGTATGGGCCCAGCAGGGGTGTGAAAAACAAAGCTGTTGTGAAAGGCAGCAGCATGGAATAGCTCAATGCCTGGCCGGGCAAGGCACGAACGGACACGAACCCTCTGGTTCGGCTACACGCCGGTACCGAACCTTGGCATGAAGTCAAGGTGAAATCAGCTGCCACGCACGTCACTAGCATGCTTAAACCAGCAACCCCAAGCACCAGGACCCTGAAGTGCAATTGGAAGGGAACCTAAAAAGCGATGGCCTCCAATCTAATAGCGATGGCCTCCAACCTAGGAGCGATGGCCTCCAAATAGATTAGGCTTAAATTGTATAAAGCCCAATTACTGGATACACAAAGCCGACCATCTGCAGAACTTTTGTGAATTTATGGGCGTCTACATGTCGCCCAACAGTGGCAAGGCTGTAGGGTTCAAGCTAGGCACGTCGGACACAAGACAGGCACAGCCCGCGTTGAGAACAGCGCTCCCATGCTTGGTCAAATAAAGCCCCAACGTATTAAAGCCTTGCAGCCAAGAGCACTGCTGGCTACTAGGCAACAGCTACTCAGGAGTTCTATTGCCCTGTTTCTGTCTGATGGACATGTGCTCTGCTTTGCTTTCAGTGTGCCATGCTGTTGGCCAATGATGACAAGGTCATGCTGAGCACACAACAAACATTGACTCCACAGTAGCCTGGCAGCTCTAAAATGCCCGAGTCCAAACGTCGTGTCTGGCTTGTGAGTTGATCACAGCCAGGCATAGAACCTGATGGAACCCTACAATCGACCAAAAGAACTAAAAGAACTAGCAAACTGACGAGTATATTGATGGCACGCAATTGCACCCCTTTTTGCTAACAAGACCGGATGCCTCGCAGAGAGACGCGGCACCACTTGTTCGATGCCTCTGCTTTGCCTTCCGGCATTTAAGTCCGGCTGAAGATACACCCTCTTTGAGGGGGTTGAGAAGGCCTCAATCTCACCAACACATCCAATGGAACTCTGGGACAGCCCTTCCTCTTCAGGTTAAGTGCCCAAAACCACAAAGTTAAGAGCATTTAATTTAATGAAAGGACGGTTCACTTGCTTTGGATCAATCCTGTCAGTGAGTCACCTGCTCCTGACGGTGCCACTAACACGAATCATGCCTTGTGCAACTCTGTGCTTTGCACACAAACACTCACAACATCTCACAACCAGAAAGACGCTTACAAACAGGGGTGGAGTAACTCTTTTGGACATTTTGTTGCTCCGAATTTGAATACGTCCGTCAAAGGCCTTGGGGCACATTGCATCACCAAAAACGGGGAATGATGCAGCCCGTATCAAAACAAATGATGTCAAGTTGGAATCGCGGGGTCCTGTGCGCTTTATGGCTCAGAATGGAAGCGGCGCAAGTCTCCTGTCAGCAAACGGATTACTACCAAATGCTCTTTTCAGTGACCGTCCAGTATATAAATCCGCCCGCACCGAAGGTATCCGAAGGTGCTCAGGGCGTGATCATCCGGATGGCACAAACAACTGTAAGGTACAGGTTTACCTGGTGTTTTTGTGAGAACAATGGGTTTTTGATAGGTCGCGACGGCGGGTTTCAAAAAAACACTGTTTTTTTACAGCACGGATTTGACTATATAGTTCGTGCACGCGCCCGCCCGGAACCGGCAACAGAAAAATTAAAGAAACATGTGTGGTTTTAAGAACTTTTGGTCTTCGATTTTCGGTTTTGAGGCCCGCGTTATTATAATCATGTGCCTTGTTGGGAGGCCGCGGGGCCAGATTTTGTGACTTCGGAGCTGTCTGGGTGACGGTTTTCGCCGTTTTTGTTGGGCAGAAACATTGGCTTTTGCCGTGTTTGTGTACGTTGCCAAGGCTTGACGTCTTTGCGGGAAATGTAAAAAAACCTTCCAAATAGCAGGGTTTTTGGCGACCACGTCGTTTTGACAGCAGGTTCACAAACACTGTAAATATCGGTGCTTTGCCACGGCAAGCTCAAAAACATCGCTATTTGCAGTGGTTTCTGCCTCACAAAGAATAAAAACACTGTAAAATACGGTACAGATGCAAAACTCCCCAATACATACTGATCAAATGATATGCATGAACCGACGGCCCGGTGCCACTCTTTTGGGCCAGTATGCTTCGAGAAGTCGATCACTCCTCCTCTGCTAAGGACGTTATTCGTCCGAAGCAGTACCTATGGTAGCGGAGCCAGGTTACTCAGAAGATCGTCTTTTGAAGTTCACTGAATTCGTGTTTCTCAAAACTCATCGCATGCATGTGCTTAGTGATAGTCTTACTGTCGCTAGATTTCGTCAAGATGTCGCTAGTGTTAGAAGCCGTCCCGATCTTCCGAACAACCAGCTCGTGCTTCGCAACGCACTGCTGAAGCCACAAGTAGCGGACTTGCACGTGCCGTTGCTTTCCTAGACCCTGGCGCGAGGCGAAGCTCTTCGCGCTGCTCGAATCGCTCTCGAGCACTAGACCTATAGTTCGATGCCGATGTCCAGGAAGTAGGACTGCATTCCAAGACCATGTGCAGCTCCGTGCGTTAAGGCATAGAACTCTGCCTCTGAAACATTCAAGCCAAGCACGCTCTGCAAATTGCTTGTTGCTTTCAAAACATGCCGACCGAAGAACTGCACCATTCCGGTTGTTGATCTCCTGCCAACTTTGTCTCCAGCGAAATCGCTGTCCACTGAAATCCTGATGTAATCCGGCATCTTCTGTTGATGATACACCAAGCTGATGTTGGGGAACTGGATCAAGTAGCGAGCAAGCCTCTTGAGCATCTCCCAATGTGCCAACCTGGGCTTTGCCATGCCCTGCGCCAATCGCTTCACAGCCTCAGCGATGTCAGCACGCTCCTGGGATAAAAAGCTCGCACGCATCACTCCCGACCTGTATCGGGATGCATCCTTCGGACTCAACTCTGCCGAAGTCTCCAATGCCCCTGCTTGTGCATCTGTAGGCTTGATGGATGGCGTGGACACTCCAGCTGACTTCATGCTCAGGCCCACACCTTGAACAATCAACTCAACATGCCGCTTGTCGGGTTCGATGCGGACCCAGCGGCGACCATCTGTAGTGCCCAACCGCACAACTCTGTTCAACACTGTTGCTTCCTGCACGCAACCTGTTGTAAAACCCAAGCGATGACTCTCTCTCATCTGATACTTGGACCCAAGAAGCTCCTTCACTTTGTCAACCGCTTCAACCGGTCCAAGAACATAAAAATCATCACCATGAACTGCTCCTCTTGAGCACTCTTCTGCATTGTAAAACAACGCCGGGTTTGCTGCTCCAACCCTGTAACCGCCTCCACGAAGAAGTTCTTGCCAGTCCAACATCCAAGCATGGCTTGCATCTCTGAAGCCATACATGCCTCTGTTCAACCGACCAACAATGTCACCTTCTTCGGGCTTCTTGTCCTCCTCAGGGATCTCGACATAGAGCTCTCGCAGAACCTTGGGCATGAAATGAGCCCTGGAGATGTCAAACACTCCCATGACCAACTCCTTGTCCTGCTTCTCAAAGTCGGTGACCAGCAATGAAAACAATGCCTTCACCATCTCCCATGGAGGTGTAGCCGAAAACAACTCATGAGCTAGAAGCGCCTCCTTTGTCTTCGCCTTCAGCTCCTTGCCAACAATCCTCGACCTCACCTTGTAGTGAGCCTTGTCTCCTTTGTTGACATCTACCCACCGGACTGGTAGGATTGGTTTGCCACTTGCAGCTGCTTGACTTCTGGGGACCTTGTCGTACAGGCCGATCTTGTGAATCCATCCGATCTCCTCTGCACGCGCCTCCTGAACCAACTTTGATGGCAGCTGTTCACCTGAAATGTCATCATAAAACTGCTCAACCTCCTCTTGAAACTCCTCAGGGAACAACGGCTCTGTAGGATCAGGACCACTTGAGTATGCCTGAATTGAATTCAAACAACCATCAACCATCATCTGGTTCTTGATGCCCTGGAGGACCGTGTACACAAGCTCGTCCGGGTATTTGGCACAAAGATGAGCCAATCCACCAATGAGCGAAATGTGACGATGCAATGGTCCACCAGTTCTGTTTGTGCAACACCTGTCCAACAACTTTGCAACTTCCTTGGAGTTGGTGACGAACTTGGTTGCTTTGTACACCAACCCTCGACCCTGCTTGGGAACTTCCAGACCCATGCCCCAAGCACACATAGGTCCGACCACAGTGAAAACTCCTGCACGCTTCTGAAGCTTCACCATTCGTGGATGATCCCAAGACTTTGCTCCAACGGGGCGCTCATGAAGAAAGTACTTGCCCTTCTTCCAACGCTCCTCATACAAATCAATGCTCAAGCAAAGATGTCGTTCTCCTCGCTCCAAAGCCTCTCTGTTCTTGGCATTGTCGAGGTAGTACTTGTTGAGGTTTTGCAAAACACTGAAAGGGTCACAGCGCGGACTGCCTGTGAGCATGAAAGGATCTTGCACTTCGATCCACTCCTTGAGCTGCCTCATGTGGTCAGGGACGTCTAAATCCCAACCTGTCTCAAGGTCAACAGCGAAACCAGCATTGAGCCCCAAATGCGAAGCTCCTCTTGTGAACCTTGGCGGGCTGAACACTTCCGCCACATCAACTGCGCCAAGCTCTTGCTTCTTGGCCTCAATCTTCCTCTTCAAGCAGTCGATCGACTCGACTCGCTTCCACTTCTTCTCCGACATCACCTCCTCCTCGTAGTCGAAGCCGAGGTAGGAAATGTCGTTTGCTGGATCCTGTCTCTTGTGCGCTGCTGTCCAAACTGAAGCCGCTGCCGAAGACGAACCGGCCTCTCCTCTCGCAAGCACCTGCTCTATGGTGGTGTCACTTGCACCTACCGCCACAACCGGCGGTTCACTTGGAACGACAACCTCAGCCTCCTCTGCTTTGGATGCCGATGGATCGAGCTCCTCAACTGCAACCTCTGCTGCTCTTTTGAAACTGCATGCGTCCGACGGACTTCCACCTCTTGCTAGGTGACTCAGGGCTAGACGGCTCACTCCGCTTTGCCCCTTCTTTCTCAAACTTCTCCTCGATCCTCACCTTCTTCTTAGGTGCTGCACTGCTCTCATCCTCTCCTTTCCTCAACCTCTCAGCCTCTGCATCTGCTCTCTTCTTGAGCTCCTCCTCCTTCTGCTCTGACCTCAATGCGACCCTGTCTGCATGCAGCTCGACTCTGCGAGGGTCGACAAGTGCAACTATCCGACGACGGCACTCGTCGGAATGAGCCACTGGACGGGCTCCGGCCTTGACGGCCGCACAACCTTTGCAGTTGTCCGTGAAACCATGGCGTTCCACGTCTGCTTTGCGCACGTAAAAGGCTCGTGCGTCTGGCGGGAGGTCCGGCGTTGGTGGTGCCAGCCTCGCACGCCCCACTGAAGGCAACGCAGGTCGAAGATGCGTTCCCTCTCGAACACCTGTTCGGGATGCTAGATCCCAAGGGAATCCAGCCAACTCCTCAATGCCATCTGTGCTCCATCTCTGGTTGGTGGGCAACCGCTTCACGGCCAAGCCAATCTTCAACCCTTCTGAAGAAAGCCCCATCACAGAATTGGTACGCGCATGGTGGCCAACAAAGCGAACCGGGGTCGACATCGGTTCCCAATCGAGTCTGCCAGCCTTCTCCTTAGCCTCACGGATGTGAACCAGCTCTCCAAACTCAAGGGCAGGCTTGTTCCACTTCTTGCCGTAGGCTCGTTCATAGGCTGTGCTTCCAGAACTGTCCTTCCTGTATATGTTGATCGACTCTGCAGCGAAGTTCGCAATCCAGGACGTCAACGGGTGGTCATTAGGAAGGCTCATGTTCAGCTTTCTCTCAAGCGACAATCGTAAGGCCCTCATCTGCCTTTTCAACTCCCTGATTGCCACTTCAATGCTCCCATTGGCCTGATGATCTCCAACGGGCGAGTTCTTGTTGACAATCTCGATGTCCGGCAGGGATGCCGAAACACTTGTCTTCAAAGCCATCAGGGCAGGTTCGTTGTCTGACATGTGCACCAACCTCTTGTGTCCCGTCTCGGTGATGAAGCGGGCCATGCCTCTCTGCGTGAAACCACTGTTGCTCTTGTCCGGCAGTGCAAAAGCTCCCAACATGCCTGACGGTGTCGACTTCATTGCCAAAAACGGCGACAACTGCATGAAGTAGAAGTCACTGTGCACTGCAGGTCCTTCCTCTCTCTTCTCCTCCTCTGTCCTCTTGCGATGTGGTGTTCCTGTCGATCGAGCTTTGATGCACACCTCACACCAATTTCTATAGACCGCATGGTTCTGTGCCTCATGCTCTTCAATCTCTGATTTGGTGGGGTTCCTTACCCTAGTCGGGCTCCTCACCAAGATGCCATCAACCGCCTCCGGAACATACCAGAAGTGCGTTTCCATCTTGCGCACCATTGGCTCGAACTGCTTGTGGATCTCGTCGAAGGACATGGAGTCGTGGATCTTGTCGTCGAAGATGAGCTCACCTGTCTCCTCATCGTAGCTCAACCTCCTGAACACCTGGGACCATTTGGGTCCTTCAGGCCAGGTGCCTCTTGTAGTGAAACAATTGAAATCTTTCCGAATGGCCAAAAATGCCCCTTCAGGGATTCCAGCCGGTCTTGCCTTGGGCGTCAAGCCAACTTCAAATTCTTTGGGGTTCATGTAGTCGACGGTCTCTTCCGCCAATGCCCAACCCCTCCATTGCGGAGATTCTTCGCTCTCCTCACCTTCTTCTTCCTCAACTCCTTCTTCCATCCTCTGCTCAGGGCCTCCTCCGCCCTGGTCTCCTCCTTCTCCATTGGGCTCCTCATCAACCGGACTTACGGCCTCACGGCCTGCCGCTCGTTTCCCGACGAGGCGGAGTCGGAATCCAAAGTTCCCAACTCCTGCAAGTCGCCACGCTGCTTGAGGTAGATGTTGTACAAATTGCCCTCCTTGTAGAGCTTCAGCATGCCACGCTCACCATTGACATCGATGAGCTGCTGAAGAAAGGCCCTCATGGCTTGTGCCATGCTGGTGTTCCTGGGGATCAACCATCCTCCATCTTCGAAGATGTAGGCGTCGTGAGTGGCGCTGAACTCACCTGCAGATCCAAGCGGCTTGTGGACGTGAGTGACCGTTGCCTTGAACCCACGTCGATGTCCTCGCGCAGGCACCCTCACTCTGCCATACCTCGGGATCTTCTCGCCATTCGCCACCCTGTAGTCCCCAACACGTCGAAGCTGCAAGCCCTGGGCCACGGCCATCTCGATGGGGATCACGGTGCTAACAGCTCCTGAATCGTAGTTCAACTTCAGCCACTCTTCGCCCTCCACACTGCAAAGATAGGTGGGCGATCCATCCTCATTCTCGGTGTTCATGCTGTTGTGGTCCACGTCCTCATGCACTGATGCGGACTCTTGGGCTGGTTATCCTCCTCGAGATCGACTCCTTGTTCGACTGTCGTCTCCACTGCGGGTCAGTCCAGGCGGGATCGATGGTGTCCAATCAGGCGTCCTCGAGAAGTCAACTCCGACTGCACGATCTCGGCTTTGGCTCGCCCTGACGGAGGGGACACCGGTGAAGATTCTCCTCCTCGGCCTCTGGCTCGAAGCCTCAACTGTCTCCTCCTCAGCGTCCTCACGCTCGACCTCAACAGCCTCTGAACTGGGTGCCGCATGATCTGCTGCTGCCCCTCCGACATCCGAAAGAAGCGCGTCCTCCTCTCGCTCCTCATCTGCACCCAGCGGGGAATAGACCTGAAAATGCTCACCTTCTCCATCGCCAATGGCTGAAAGGTCCAAATGCGACAGCTCCGGCTCCTTCTCTGGCTGCTGAGATGCTTGGCGTCCATCTTCAACTGAATTTGCTGAGCCGCCCTTGCCTTTGCCTTTCTTGAAGCCTCCATCGAACTTACCCTTCTGGCCACTCTTGCCTTTGCCCTTGCCGGTGTTGCTCCAGCAATCCTTTCCGTAGTGGCCATACTTCATACACACCCAACACTGAACATTGTCCATCCTCTTGGTCTTCGGTGGATCTCCTTTGTTGGATGTCTTGCCTCCTCCTTTGCTTCGGCACTCTGATGCCTTGTGCCCCAACTTGCCACAGGCGTGGCATGTCATCTTGTTGGCGTTGTTGCTCGCCTTGCCACCTTTTCCTTTGCCACCCTTCATCAATGCTCCCAACTCCATGGGATCGTCCTTGGGACCTTTGTTGCGGCTTGATCCAAGTTCCCTCCGACTGAGATTGAGGGAGTGCCTGGTGGTGGCATAGCTGCTCAACTTGTCGAAGAAGCTCTCGAAGTCGCTGAACTCATCTGCTCTGAGCATGAAGGTCTCCTCGAGCGACTCCGGCATCAACCTGTAAAGCCCGGCAATCAATGAATCGTCCGACACCACACAAGGATTGCCTGCATTGTCGGTGAACTCTTCATACTGCTTCTTCTTTGTCAACCAATGCTCAAGCGAACTCCCCAACTCTTCAACCGACTTGCACTTGCTGGGGTTTTGAACCATGCTCAAAATTGTGACACGTCTCATTGAGCTCGTGGGGTCATACTCGTTGATCAACCTCCTCCAGGCCTCAAGGCTATCTGTACCTGAATTGCGGACCACTCTGTTGGCATCACCTGTTGTAAATGAAGTCAAATAGGCTCCAAGACCTTCCAACATACTGTCAATGTCGTCGATCTTCTCAATGTCATCTGCAGCGCTGCCAAACACGTCATTCCAAGTCACCACCTTCGTCTCTCCATAGTGGGCCTCCTTGACGGTGGTCTTGCGCTGCTTGCCAGCCCATGACAACACAACTTCAACATCTCCACCAAACTTGGCCTTCGCAAAGGTCTTGAACTTGTAGACCCACTCTGAAAAATCCTGGTCGCTCTTACCAGAAAATTTGAAGGGCTGTCCAACACCTTTTGTATCAACCAACTCGCTCTTCTGCGATCCGGCCGGCCTCAAAGCAATGCTCCTCTCTTCTTCTGCTCGAGCCGCTCTGCCGAATGCATCCTGTAGTTGATGCTGCAACTGCATCATCTGTTGTTGATGAGATAGCAGCATTTCTTGTTGCACCTGAATCTGGGCTTGCAGGTCTAAAAGCGGGTCCATCCCCTGTCCGGTAGGGGACCCCATCACAACCACCTCTCGCAGCTCTTGGTACACCTTCTCGATTTGTGCTCCTTGGATCGTCCAGCCTTACGCTACCATGATCAAATGATATGCATGAACCGACGGCCCGGTGCCACTCTTTTGGGCCAGTATGCTTCGAGAAGTCGATCACATACAAATATGTATGTATATATATATGTATATACTTCTTATGTATTTGTTTATTTTTATATCTGTTGGGAGCGGGAGCTGAACGCAACAGCCTGTTTGGATCCACACTTGCTATATGGCAACAGGATGAACCCTTGCCCTTGTGATATATGGTGGTGAACGAAAATAGCGCACACTTTTGGCGTATTACCTTCTACGATCGTTGTTGCGTCATGCCACCACTCATCCGACTCACTATTGACTTGTAGGCGCGTGCCAAAACCTGTGTTTTTGACTTTTCGTCTTCAATTTGTTGGTTTTGAAACGCTTCTTTTTTCCGTGTGTCTTGTCGCGAAAGCCGGGGGGTGCGGATTTTATGATTTCGAGGCTGTGTGGGTGACAGTTTTCGCCCTTGTTGTTGGGCAACTGTTTCATAGCGGTGCGGGCGGACCTTGCCGCGGCGTGAAGATTACCGCCCAAAAAAAGTTGCCAATCGCACCACAATGCAAAGCACCATGACACAACTCAAAACCTTGCTGTTCTGGGATGGGGCCTGTTTGCAGCACTGTACATGAAGTGTGGTGCTCACCAAGCGCTCCTGAGTTGCAAATGGCAGCATGCATTTTACCAACCCATGACCATGATTGTGCAGGGCCATTGCACCAAGATTGCCAAGACACCTAAAATTATCTTTTCTAGTATCAGACTGATGGCACCCCATTCATCCAGCACCTGCGATGCCAGAAGCAAAGGCATACATCCAAGCTGCAATTCGAGCCAACCAACACCCCAAATTGAGGCCCCCGCATCTGCCATGTGTTCTGGGATCACCAGGGACATGACGGACATGATCACCTTCAGCCAAAAAGCACTGCGGCCAGGGTGCTTCAGAGTTCAGACTGATCCAGACTCAGCAAATCAATTGAGCTTGGCAACACCGGTGCCCAGCCACACTTTGAAGAGGCACTCTTGCAATGTTCTGGCAGGGCCTGATACCGGCAAGTGTTGAATCAAGGCATTCTGAGCCTCCCTCCAATGAAACTCTAACTTCGAAGCGAAGGCCAAATCGATTTACGTGCATGGGCGTTCGCAGTGAAGCTGCTATTGCAGTCCAAGTGCTTCGTTCTCTTTTGCTCATCGTGAGCAACTCAGGGGCCAAAATAGCTACCTCTGCAAAGCCAACCCAACTGCGAGATCGCAGATCATCGACATAGCTCAAACTCATGCACACACCTGAGCTAGCTTGAGCGTTCAATGAAAAGGAACAAGTGGCTAAGAAATGGTGTGAAGCTTTATAAGGCAATGAATCTGCCATAGAGCCCTACACATTCATGGCCTGCCATGCTGGTCAAGGAAAAAGGAAAGCCAAACACTGAGTAAGACAGCCAGGCAGCAAATGGCCAAGGTCGACACTATGTGCCACCTGCTTCACTTTGAGATTAGCATGAGCAAATGCAAAGAAACCACCTCTCAGACTCTAGTTTCAAAAGCTTACCTGGCTTAGCAGCGAACGCGCATGCACTGAGCATGCACCTCATCTGACGGGAGTTGTAGAAGTCAATGCCGGTTTGGCTAGACATCCTGGGAACTTCAGCAATAACGAACCATTGGTCTCCTCTGATCCAAGTTGTACATATATAATATATAACGTACTGTTTCAAATAGCACCGCTTCAACGGTTCTATCTCAAAACATGGTACACAAGCAAACCTCAGAAAACCTTGGAGAACCACAACAGTCCCAAAACACAACCTGCAACTGTCCCCACCAAAACGTGTCACTTTCCCAGGTACGTTGCATTGTGTCTTCAACTTTTTGCACGCTTGGTTGCGAGGTTCGGCACTAAGTCATCTCATGAAAAACAACACATCAGAAATTTGTCTGGCAGCTGGCACCTCAGGTTTACAAGTACCAAGTTTATAGCACCAACCTCCCAACACACATTCCCACGTATATACTATATACCTCAAAAATTGTCCAAAACCATATTGCACCAAACAATTCCCACTCTTGTCAAACCTTTTTCGCACTTTGGAGCTGATCTCTGCGTAGTATACCACACTGCTCCTTTCCAACATGCCTCCAACTTTCTGGGGTGACCTTTTGGTTGTTTCCTTCTTTTTTAGCAACTATACTGTACGGGCAAATGCTGCCCTTCGTCTCGGTTTTACCTTTTTGACATGAACCATTGAAGTGGTGTTGGGTGATTCTCCACTTTCCCACTTTCTGGGTGTTTGCATGGCTGGCATTACTCTTAAACCCCACATAAATACCACAACACGGGTAAGGGATCAAAGTAAAAATAAAAATAGAATCAAAAAAAATATGTTCAACGGGGATCCCCCCCCCCAAAAAAAAAAGTAATCAAAAAATAATATTCTAGCCCACTGAGGATGGTTGGGGTAGTAGTAGTAGCAGTAGCAGTAGCAGTAGCAGCAGCAGCAGCAGCACCAGCAGTAGTAGTGGTAGCAGTAGCAGTAGCAGTAGTCACGGCGTTCACACGAAGTTAGGCCCTACATGGCGTTGTCAGAGCGCTCGGAGACAGAAGGACTAGGATACCAGGGGACCAGCGGACCACAGGAACAGAGGACCAGGAGACCGGAGGACTAGGGGACCAGTGGACTAAAGGACCAAGGGACCAGGGGACCAAAGGACCAGTGGACCAGAGGACCAAGGGACCACATTACCAGAGGACCCGCAGACCACAAGGCCAGGAGAGCAGCAGAAGAGGCCTATCAAGGAATATTTATTTTTTGATTCGCTTTTTATTTTTTTTGATTCTGTTTTTATTGTTTTTTTGATGCTTTTTTTTTGGATACCTATGCCCCACAACACCCACTCAAATCCCACAGCCCATGTTCAAAAGGAAAACTGCAGGATTTGGCGTTTTGTGATGGTGCATATGCCTGTCATGTTTGGCTTGAAGAAGTCATATTTAAAGCACCACTTGCAAACTTGCTATTTTGGGATCTGTGTTGGGTGTCCTCTCCATCTCACACACTCTCCCCTTCCGACCCGTCGGCGGACCTCAAAGCTGATAGCATCAGCAAGCCACAAAGAGGCAGCATGTGCAGTATTTGCCGAAAATCGCCGCTAACTACCGCGGCAAGCAACATGCCCACAGACAGCACCTGGCACCAGATACAATTAGTCCACGGCAAGAATGCTTGTGGTAGATAATATTTTACGCGAAGGTTGATGTCCTACAAGATGTTTTGTGCTTCCTAATGGACTGCCCAAGTCTTGTGGGGTAGGAGAAGGAGGAGAAATACATCCCGCAAATGAATGATCTGAAGCTTCCTCGCCCAGGGGCCAGCAAAAGCCGGTACAGCATTCGCATGCGCTGGTGCTGCACAAAAATCGACGGCATTGCGCAGGCTGCTCAGGCAGTGGCCAGAGCTGATGCTTCGTCTGTCGCTGTGTGTCAATGGTGCTTCTTGGTCTGCCCTACGAGTAGTGCTGGAAGAATCCTATGACCTACGATGTTGCAACAATTTCTTGGCATCTTCTGGCGGGCTCCATGTTGACAAAGTGCTATCCATCTCGGTCCACGCTGCTTTGCTCTGGTTGGCTACCAACTGTTTAAAAGTTCCTTACTCATGAATAGCCACTAACAAGGGCTATACTGCAGGCAGAGCGCGCATAATCTGGCAAAGAGTTTAAGAACATCTTGCACCAAAAAAGCCGACACCTTGCTGATCACCCACACTGATGTTCACTTACTGGTTCAGCAACCACGAAACAACTCTACTGCATCCGGGCCAACTACCCGTGAGCAGTAGGAAAGCACCACCCCGTGCACAAGCTTCATCCTGCACTGTGAGAACTGGGACGTGTTTTTGAGGGCTCTCCCGGCATGCCCACTTCTCTCGAACTTGCACAACCACGCCGTTACCATGCGTTGGTGCGTTTCAAGCTGTTTCGTATTCGCAAGATTCCTAGCCAGAAGCAAGTGCAAGTCCTGCTGAGTGTAGCAGGTCCACCCATCAGCGAAGGCATCCATGACCTGGCAGAAAAATGCAAAAGATACGGAACTGCATCTTGCCCACAAACAAACACAAAGACAGCGACAGGGACACAGAAGATTGCAAGTGATGGAGTCTGACCAGTAGTGCTGCAAATTCCGTCTATATATTGGAAACTTTATATCTGCTTAACTGTCATCAACAGCCTGGGTAGGCAATGCATACAACATCTCATCGCGACCCCTCGTTTGAAGTAGCATTCAATCAATCTCACAGGCAGGTTTTCAAGTTCTGGACGTCAATCAAACCCCCCAAGAAAATGTAAAGTAAAAAATCTGTGCAACCTCAGAAGTGTGCAACACTAGCCGCTAGCCGATGTGCTGGTGCGAATTCTTTTCGCCAAGGATGAAAGTTGGTCTTTGACGCTGGACAAACCAAAGAGCCAAAGAGAGCCAAACAGACAGGAAGGAGATCTTGAACCACAAGGGATGTGCGCTTCCGGAGGTCCTTGCCTTGCAGGTCCTTTGGCCAACCGTTCACAGCCATGTCTTGATAAGTCAGTTGTGTGTAAATGCTGAGGTTCTGGCATCGCTGATGGTCATGCCCTCCTTGCTGCTGAAGCCCGGCAGCACCAGCAAAGGCATGTAGACAAACGAGACCTTCGATATCAAATCCCTTCAGACTTGAGTCTCCAATGCAAAGTTTGACAAATGACTCATGAAGTAGCCTAGGACGCTACTAGGAGCAAGGACGCTAGAATTGGAATGCAAGTGAAGGAGAGGAGCAGAAGGGCGGAAAAAGGAGGAAGGCGGAAATGAACATAGCTTCTTGTTACTAGTAGTAAGAATGCTCCTAGTAGCGATGCCAGGAGCCCCTAGTAGCGTCCTTGCTCCTAGTAGTAAGGCCAGGAGCCCCCAGTAGCTTCTTAGGTACAGGGAGGCAAATCAGAGGCTTGGAGGGCACGAAAGGCAGTTGTCGAAGTGCAATCCAGCCACCACGAACTGCCAAATGGACACCCATTGCGTCAAGTACCTTGCCAAGAGATGATTCCACGGAATTCCACATTTGGAACAGCAGTCGACTTCGCCCAACTGAGGACAGCTCCAAACGTCCAAGTGGATGTTTTCGAAGGTTGCTTCTTTATAGCAGCTTGACCTTGACCGTAGCCACTTGCAGTGTGGCCATGCACCCCTTGTGTCTGTGTGCTCTTTCAAACTCTCTCTGCCGCCTGTGCCGCTGACGCGGCCATTGGAAAGTTGCTAAGCGCATAGAAGAGGATCGCCTCAAGACGCCATGCAAGTTACTAGTAGGTTGGCGGCCATTGCCATTAGTAGGAAGAGGATCGCCTCAAGAGCCCCGTGCTAGATCGCCCCTTTGCCCCTCTGCGACACAAAATGCCACGAAGTACGGACGTAGTGCCGTCCTGAGTACCCTGCGTACCACCGGCTCTGGGCAGCTACGCTTTGCATCCTCGGCATTGTGGAGGGAGTGTGTCGACAATTGGCGTAAACAAACACGGCACGTGGAAAAAATGAGCCTAGGGCCTAAGATGGCCTAAGTCAGCTGAGTCAGCTTAGCACTTCACGGATTAGAACCATCAACAATCTTGGGTAGAACCTGGGCGGCTGAAGGAAGCTCCGATACTGGTCCTATATCTCGAAGTTCGAGGAACACGCGCTGATGCAAGCTCCAACCACAATAAGAAAAGCACCTCGGCTGCAACTTGAGACACAACATTGCATATATATAACTTCCCTTCCATCTGCATCACGACAAGTTTGGAAACCTGTTCCTCGAGGTGGGCTAAATGGATGGATCTCTGGCAGAGAGGCAGACCACATCGCTCCTTCCAGTGGCTGGCTATTCCCAACCATGTCGTGGACCTGCAGGTTTCTTTTTCAACATGAGAACATAAGGAATGTCTGAGGCAGCGACACCAGCATGGTGAAGGGAATCAAAAGCTGGTTGAGCCTGGCAATTGCTAGAATCAACTGTTGCTGCTTGTGGCTCAAATGCGCTGGAGTGGCAGTGGTGTTACAGAGCCCGGAGTGTAAGCAGTTCCAAGACCTGAAAAGGACAACAATCACGCGAATAAGCTCCTAGTAACTTCTTGTTCCTAGTAGTACGGCCAGGAGCCCCTAGTAGCGTCGGATATCATCAGAGTGGCCAGGAGCACTGCATATCCATATCACGATCATCAAATATCATCAGAGTCAGAGGTGCCAGACATGTCAAAAAAGTACCAAGGCTATCGAGGGTACCTTCGGATGCAGCCACATGTTTTCTCACACAAAGCCACATACAGCCATTCTTGGCGCACCCATGATGACAAAGTGCCTCTTTGGGAAAGTCATCATCTCTTTGGTCACAACATTGGTGACCAGCATCCTCCAAAAGAACATCAACAAAATACAACTCATTGAGCTACAAATCTTGCAGCGTGCAGGTTGCATGGCGCATGCAACCCACATGGAAGCCTCACTATCCTTCTTTCGCTGCTCCCCTCGATTTACAAAACAACACTATGCTCCTTGGGTACAAAATGGCGCCGCCATAAATGATATACAAAAGGTTGATGGCCTCCCAGCGAAGGGCTTCTCGGCGAGCATAAACGCTTCGGAACGTCTTTCGATTTGTCGCACTCGTTAGATAAACTAAGCTCCGCCTGGTTCACAAAGAAAGACCGTCGATCACCGTACGCCTGGGCCCGCGGGTGCCTAGTAGCTAAATCAATTGAGCGATGGCTCCACCCTAGTAGCGATAGCCTCCACTTTTCCGCTTTTCCGAAAGACTCCGGCACCGCAGCTTTCGCGGGGGATGCCATATCCCTGGAAAATCTCTAAAGCGTGACAGCTAAGAGATCACTACCGTGGTTGAGCGCCGCCTTGAACTGTTGGATGAAGGTTTCAACTGCCCTGAAACGTGTCTCACACATCCGGCAGCTAATGCAGTGTGCCCAAAAGACTGTGATCCGGGAGGACGGTCTGACATACTGCGTCGAAAGCTGAACAGACTCAAGTTTGTGGATTCGCAAAAGAAAGATGCGGAACCACTTGATGCGCTCTTGCAAGTCAAACTGTTGGGCTCCGTCCCGAGTGAGCCACTCCCAAGTACTATATTTTCGCACTGGGCGTATGCCGCCCCTTCCTGAGTGAAGAACAAAATCAATCAACAGGTACAGCCATGGTATGTAAATCACTGGTGCATTCGGGTGTTGCAGCGACTGCGACCAACTAGCTAGCATGTCCCACCCTGTGCCGACCAGTTTATGGGTGGCAGTCTGTGGCCGGGGTGGTAGCGGAGCCATGGTGACTTCTACCAGTGGCAAGGGGCATGCTTCTTGCGTGTCTTCCGTTGCCAAAATTGGCATTGTTTTGGTCACGGCAGCTTCACTAACCTGCAGAATGGTGGCATGGACTTGGTCCCTTAAGACACGTGCTGCATCGAGGTCCGTGACTGCTTGTTGCCACTTGCGAAAAACTTGGCATGGGTACATGGTGCTACAATGGGCACTATGGTCAGCATTTTCATTCCCAAGGAATGCCCACTTTTCAATCCATGTGGCCTGGTCAAGGTTCTGATGGCTGGCTATTTTATAGACCTGGACAAGCGATGACTGTGCTGTGCGTGCAAGCGCTATGAGAACGTGCCAGAGATCCTGGTCTTTGGGATGGACCTTACATCTATCGGGTGCCTGGAGGGCCTGAGTTAAAGTGTTAACAACTTGCGCATTATCACTCCAAATCCTAATGCTGTTGCCTTGGTGCAGGGCAAAGCGTAGAGCACTTATGGCTGCAAGGATTTCAGCTCTCCCACTGGTCTGCCTCCATCCCGGAACTCCTCCCTGTGCGATCGGCCACCAAACATCTGTGTCTGCTGGATCCGCAGCAATGAGACTCCAGCCCGCCACCCTAGTGTATGGACATGTCGGCCGAATGCATGAACCGTCTACGAACAAATCCGCCGGCTGAAATGGCGGCATGTCGAATGATCCTGTGAGGTCCGGCTGGTTTTGCAAACAGTGCTGAAAATCACGCACCGATTGGGGAAGGCCCATCCATCCATGATATGTTAGACATTTGGGGAGGCCCCCGGCTCGGACATTGGTTGCCAACCATGGGTATGGACGGTGGCTTTCAAACGCTTTGCATTCCCAGAACCTATGGTACTGTGAGTCTTGGCCCCCACAGAATTTGCATGTTAGGGTATGTGCTTTAGCGTTATGTGCTTGAGTGTCGGCAGTGAAGAACGTTCCATTAAGGGCCGTCCGGAGGAGACCCAATTTAGTCTGTCCTAGCGAAGTGACTTTCTCAAGCGTGAACTTGGGATTTGCCCATTCAAGCCCTTGGAATGTTTTTCTACGGCTGGCACACCGTTGGACATGGTATTGCCAGCCCTCGAGCAAGCGGTGATAGACTTCTACATGCACTCCATGCAGGAGGTCTAAGTGCTGTT